GGACAGTAGAAAATTTCAAAAAGTCAATCATACTGCGTTTAACCTATTATTAATCCTGAATGTGACCGTATGTATGGCAGCTGAATTTACTTGCTCTTCTTAGGTGACTTTATGCTTTCTTTTACATATTTCAGAGAACCCAAAGGAAAAGAGTCAGCAGTCTGATGTGAGCCAGCTTTTTAATACTTGAACTCCTGAAACTAATCATTTTAAAGATTGTATTGCTTTTGTCCCACTTTCATTTTCTAAAGACTGATCTTTTTGTCATTGACTGTTAAACTGTTTCAAAACAAATAAACTGACTCTACTGTTAAAAATGTATCTTTTTCACTTTAAAAGGTTTTTCCCAAACTTGGAACTGGTGATGAATCATCATCACTTCACTTCACTTGCAATTTTGCATTTAAAAGACGTCTATTAGCCGTCTAAACACAGCCCAGACATCTAGGCTAAAACGAGGCTAAATTTGGGCTTTCAGTGAAAATTTAAAAGACGTCTAATCATAGCCCAAGAATAGACTAGTCATCAATTAGACCGTTATTAAACGACTACATATATACATCTAATAGACGGTGAATATGGGTCTAGGCTAAAACAAGGCTGAATTTGGGCTGTCAGTGAAAATCTAATAGACGTCTAATCATAGCCCAAGAATAGACTAGTCATCAATTAGACCGCTATTGAACGACTACATACCCAGCTAACAGGGAACGTTCCCAGAACATTCACTAACGTTCTTTAAAAGTTGTGTAAATCTTAGTACAAGACGTTATTAAAAGAATGTTTTCAGAACGTTTTTATAACGTTGTTAATGTTCTTGTAACGTTGATAGAAAATGTTCTTAGAACAACGTTCTTGGAACGTCTTTAGGACGTGATTTGTACTTGATGAATGTTCTTATAATGTTGATCGAAAACGTTCTTAGAACAACATTCTTAGAACGTTCTTGTAATGTTCTTGATATAATTTCTAAATTAATAATTAATTGCTAAATGTTATTATGGTGTTATCCTAAAACATTCTGATAACAGTATTCATGTCCTTTTAATTGCAGGCCACTTTATGAATGTTATTATAATGTTGGGAGAAACATCTTTAGAAAAAACATTTCTTATAGGCTATAAAGCATATGAATAGAACAGAATATGATATGATATGATAGAAAAATAAAATGTATTTAAATATGAAACTACAACCTCGAGTAGGTGGTGGCAAATCACCTGAATGAGTCACTGAATCTTTTATAATTATATAATTTATCATTATTAATTATAGCCTATATATCTTTTATAATTTATTGAAGTCACTTGGCCTAAGTGAATGTCATACACTGTAAAACAGTGACATTTGCTAAATGAAATTAGTTCATTTAACTCAAAAAATTTAAAAAAGTTATTTCAACTCAATATACATTTGTGATTTGAACTCAAAAGCTAATTAGGTTAAGCAGAACTCAATCTAAATAAGTTACTATAAATTAATTTAATCTACCATACAGTCTATGATTTTTACGTCTTGGCTGACCACAAAATATTGAATAGAAAAATGAGCTTAATTCATGATTTCTAACATTGTTTTTTGAGAAGTCACGTTTGTATAACATAGGGCTATAGGTTATGCCATAGACATAATAAATACCTAGACGCCTCATTGGCCGCCGTCCGCCATGTGTTTCGCCGCTAGATGGCGTTGACCTGGTGAACCTATAAAAGAATGTCAAATGTTTTTAACTGATCTCTGGCCAGTTTTATAATTTCGGTTATTTATTCATTATAATTCCGTTCATTTGTTATATTTTAATATTTATGCGTGTATAATACAAAACGGATAATGATATTTAATTGCTTCTAATTGACCTAGTTTGCCAAGCTCTGCCTAATAACAAATAAAACAAACCCTACACATTAATAAAAGGGCTCAGATTTTACAGAACCTTCATATTTAAAGGTATTGCATTATTTGTAGATTACATTTAATATATTACAATTTCACTAAAACATTTGTTTGTGAAAGGTGTATTTACATTTTTGCTGAGGTTACCTTTTTGACCAGCAGGTGCCGCTAGCCTGCAGTAGTTCGTTCGCTTGGAAACAGAGTGAATTATTTATTTATTTATTAGTTCCATCACATACAAGTACAAGGCACATATAATAAGCAGTGTTGGGGAAAGTTACTTTTAAAAGTAATGCATTACAATATTGCGTTACTCCATAAAAAAAGTAATTAATTACGTTACTTAGTTACTTTTAATGGAAAGTAATTTGTTACGTTACTTTTGCGTTACTTTTTAAATCTGGACAGGGCTTGCTT